TGTTTTAATTTCATGCATAATGTGACGCGCCTCTTTTATACTATGTTTATAATTGTACTATGATGAAATATTTAATATGTGACTAATTGATTATGTGATTAATTAGGGGTATAGAAAGGGGGTGTTACATCTATCACCATGCTCAGGATGCTCCCGCATATCAACAAGCACTTGCATCACTATCTTATCAACAACCAATAATTAAGGCTCCATGCCAAAATGCTCCCAATCAAAATAGAAGACAAGTGAACAGAGCCACCTTCAATCCAATTCACATGACACATAATGAGCTATATCTCTCTTTACTACAAAAAGAACTAGTGGTTCCAAGACCTTTGTGTTCTCTACATCCATTGTACAATCCGAATGCCCATTGTCCTTTCCATGAAGGTGCTCCTAGACATGACTTAGAAGGCTGTTATGCTTTGATGCATATAGTGCACGAGTTATTTGATAGTAAGGTGTTAACCTTCAGGGACGTAGGGCCCAATATGAAGAATAACCCTCTTCTAGGACATAAATAATGAAGCAAAAATCGAGCTTGAGAAGTCATTTCCTTAAATTTTATGGATTGGACAAGGAAGCTCAATTCCCTAAAGCTGGAAATCATTTAGCTCTATCAGCAATTCATTTGTAATTTCCCTACATGTTGGATGTTTATTTTCTTTTAAGAATTGTTGTTTTGTTTTTAAATGGTAATATTAATGAAGTTGTGTAAAGCCTTGTACGAGCTGAAACAAGCTCCAAGGGCTTGGCATCTGAAGATTAATTCATTTTTAAACATCTTGGGTTCAAAAAATGTGAAATGGAATATGGTGTGTATATATAGCATACTTCTGAAGGAAATGTGATTCTGGTGTGTCTTTATGTGGATGACATACTTTTGACAGGGAGTTATACTTCCGAGATAAACAAGTTCAAGAAGGTGCTGATGAATGCATTTGATATGATTGACCTTGAAAATATTGTATATTTTATAGGGATGGAGACTTTGCATTCTAACAAGGGAATTATTGTGCACCAACTGAAGTATGAACTTGAGCCGCTGAAGAGATTTGAGCTAATGGAATGTAAGTCAGAAGTCACACCTGCTATGACAAATTATAAATTGGACTCTGATTTTGATGGTGAGGATGTAGATGCTACAAACTTCAAATAGTTGGTTAGTTGTTTGAGATATTTGTGTAACACCAGACCTGACATTTGTTATGCATCTAGAATGGTGAGTAGGTTTATGAGTAATCCAAAGTGGTCACATTACTAAGATGCAGTCAGGATTTTGAGGTATGTAAAAGGAACTCTGATGCATAAATTTTTTTTCCCATCTAAAGTGTCAAATGCTACTGAGTTGATATGCTAATCAGACTCTGACTGATGCGGGGACAAATTAGACAGAAGAAACACTATAGGATACATGTTCATGTATCTAAGAGCCCTTATTTATTTGTGTTCAAAGAAGAAATAAATAGTTGCATTGTCAACTCGTGAAGCTAAATACATAGTTAGCGCTTTGTCAACTTGTCAAGTTGTTTGGCTGATGAGTTTGCTGAAAAAACTGAAGTTCAAGGTGAGCAAACCAGTCAAGTACAAATCTGCTATAAGTCTTAATAAGAATCCAATGCTGCATGGAAGAAGCAAGCACATTGATACAGAGTATAATTTTCTGCAAAATCAGGTTTAGAATGGAGTACTTGAGGTTGTTCATATTAACACTCTGAAGCAACTTGCAGATGTGCTGCCCAAGGCAATCAAAATTGAACACTTCATCAATTTGAGGGATGGATTTGGTATTGTGGATTTTTAAAATTGAATGTGAATTAAGGGACGCTGTTAAATGTAATTCACCTCAAGTTAGTTTCATTTGCATTTGAGTTTAAGTTTGCATTTAATGTTCATTTGTGTTGAATCTGGGTGAATCTATATAAACCCAAAGTAAGATGAATTTGTAACTGAATTCTGCATTTGAGAAAGTTTTGGAAGTTAGTTATAACTTTCTCTTTCTCTCCTTTCATTCTTTCATCTTCATCTTCTCCAATTCTTACACATTGTTAATGAAGGTTCATTGTTGAACTCCAACAAACCTGACTTCCAAAATTTGGTATTTTGGCACACAAGGATGAGGGAATTATATTATGGCCATAATAGCCCTACCGACCTTTGGGTTTTCTACTTTGTACTGTTTTATAGTTGTGGTTTCCACTTCTTAATATATTACACTCTAAAATAAAACCTCTATACTTACGAATAATTTCCCTCTTTATGTGGTTTGAGGTTATATAATAACTTGCAACCTCATAATAATTTCACTTTCATAATTTAATTCATTTTTCTATATAGTTTGTCTTTTCTCTACATTATACGTTCATGTAAAAGTGTACAACATTGAAGCACATTATTGTAGTTTTTTTTAATTTAGGTTATACTCTCATTATTTTTTAATCGTTTACTTACTTTTACTTTATCATATTATCAAGCCTTTTGTCAATATTCATGTTTGCGGTCCACTTTGTAATGTGCAAGAAGGCGTATTATAGACTTAGGACAATGAGGGTTGTCTAAACGATAGACTTCATGTAGACTCTTAATTCAAAATTTTATGAGAGAAATTTAAAATTGCTCTGATCTTTTAAGATTTATTGTATGTATCTCTACAGAAGTAGAGGTAGTCTAAGATATCAATCGATACACTTAAAGGGTAGGATTGATAACCGAGCTAAAAAGACAATACTGTTAAACCATGACTAGGAAAGTGTCTGGTTTAAACAAGAAAAGTCATTTAAAAAGTAGTTTCGCTTAAAGAATCATCAACGAATGAATCAAACTACAAAAGTAGGTGATTAATTGGTTTAGGACAAGATCATATATGTTCTGAAAGAATATATGATCATTTTCCACTATTTTATTTGTGAAAGAACATAAATTATCATAATTTTACATGAGTGAGTCATAGGCGTAAATCAAAATTTTGAGTCTATCTTATATACATATTTTAATGGGTTAATACCTATTTTATTCTTTATCATATGAATGATTTTAAAAAAATTTCTCTGTAAAAAAATTTGATTCTCTTGATCTTATTAAAATTCTCATATTTTGCCCCCTCAAAATATCCGGTTATCAAAAATAATAATGCGACAAACTTGTTTTTTATAAATTTCTTGTAATGATATAGACTTCATTGACTTTTTTTATTAAATTATTATTTTTAACTTTTTATTTATTTTTTTTTGGGCTATGAATTTTTAAAAGTTCCACTACCTCATACAGGCACCCTAACCACTAGTCTATGAATCTTTAAAAGTTCCACCACCTCATATCAGGCACCCTAACCACTCGGCAATGCTACCCGCTTTGGATTGTTTCCTTCTTAAATATACATATTGCATTTAAGCTAGAAGTTTTTAAATTCTTAATAATAAAAACATTATGTACTTACAAAGACTTGAACTCAAGTTCCTTCACACATCCATAATGCCCTATCCACAGGATCGCTTACTTTATATTTTTATCCAACTTAAATATATATATATAGTAAGATTACTATTTAATTTAATTAAATATAATTTACTTGATCAATATTTAATTGAACTAAAAAAAATAGTATTTAATTGATTAATATTTAATTGAATTAAGATTTAATTTAAAATTAATTTAATATATTAATTGGACATGTTTACTTAGTTAATTAATATTTAAATATTTTAATAATTAGTTACATTTTATGAAATAGTAATCATTTAAATTTTTTAATTAAATCAACGTAAATTGTAATCAATTAAATTGTTTAATTAATTAAAATTAAATTTTAATCAAATAATTCAATAGAAATTAAACCTATATTGTAACAAAAAACCATTTCACAGTTAAAAAATAAATAATAATTTTATTTTATTAATCAATAATCAAATTAAAATATTTAATAATATATAGGGTTTATATTTGATTTTTTTTTCAAATATGGACAAATGTAATAATTAAATAGAAATTAAATTAATAAAATGTAAATCTTAAATATGATTAATCATAAAAATTATTTATATCTTATATTTAAATATTTATTTATGTATTATTAAAAATAAGTATATATTTATTTATGTCTTATTAAATAATAAATAAAGTTCAAATATAAAAAATTTTATACTAAAATTAATATTTATATAATAAATTAATATTATTAAATATGAAATATAAATTAATTAAAATAAAAGTATAAGTGAAAATGAAAGAAAGATGATTGAAAGAGTGGTAAACAAATAACATAATATATAAAATTTAAGGAGTTAGTAAAAGAAATTGAATGTCCTAGTGGTAACGGCGTTAGGTTAGGCATGGGCTCAATTTTAATTTATGAGGTATAAAATTTTTTAATATTAAAAAAATTTAAATTTTATATTTTATAATGGAGTTTTTGACAAGACAGTTAAATAATAACTCAGAAATATATGATTTAAACGAGAAAAATTATTTAAAAAATCGTTACGCTTACGAATGAATTAAACTATAAATGCAGACTATTCATTAATTTGAGACAATATCATATAAAAGAGAAATATGATCATTTTTATCTATTTTATTTGTGCAAAAACATAAATTCTCAAAATTTTACATTAGTGAGTCATAGAGGTAAATCAGAATTCCAAGTCTATCTTTTATTCATATTTTAATCAATCAAAAACCATTTTAAACCCAATTCTCCCCTTTTTCCGCTAATTATGAAATACATGAATTCTCTAATCTAATAAGCATTCAGCGGAACAAAACGTTTTTACTACTTTGATAGAACACTTGTGTTGTGGCCTATCACTTTTTAAGCATAAAAGTTTAGCTTAACACAAAAAAAAGGTTAAAAATGTGTTTGAAACTTTGAACTAAGACAAGGGACCATACACAGAATAGTTTTGCCTTATTATTTGTATGAGAAAACAAAAGCTCAATATATTTTTAGTTACATAGAAGCTCAACTAAGAATCATGTACAGAGTTTTATTGAAAAACCAGTAGCTAAACAGAAGGTAAATAACCATAATCTAAGCAACACATGATTGTTTGATGCACTATTTCTTCAATGCTATGCTTGTAACTAAAACCCAAATCTTTTAGCTTCTTCGAGGAAATTTCCGAAGGAACCTTGTCATAACTTTTCTGAGTTTTGCTGCATGTATACGTAGGAGTAACATCAGAAACATGAACTAAAAAAACCTGCAGAATTTAGTATACATATAGCAGAAACGAAAGAATGTTACCTTTGCATAGAGGGACTAGAATACTCTTTCGAAAGTTGAGCTGCCAAGTTAGACAGTGTACAACTTTGTGTGCTGCATATGTACCTACCTTCTGCATCAGCATGTTCCATTAAGAATATATGAGCGTTGCATATATCTTCAATATGAACTAAAGCAATTGATCCCATTCGCGCATTTACCGCAGATAATATCTTGTAGTTTTCAGTTTCACCTGCATACATTTCAAATTTTAAGCATGGAAGTTTAATGCTTGTGTAGGTTCCGTTACGCTAGAACGCTGTAGATTATGAAATCACCTGTTAGTGGTGACAGTAGAACTTCAACACTTGCAGGAACATTAGCAGTGAAGAAAGGGCCTGCAACAGTGGTTGCTATGACTGAAACAAGATCAATGCCGTTCTCGTTTGCGAATTTAAATGCCGCTTCTTCTGTGAGAAGCTTTGAAAGTGCATAAACCTGTCACCACGAAACAAAACTCAAGGGTTCAATTTTGAATTTTGTGAACAATGCTAGTAATAGTAATAGCTAGCTGGAAAAAAAAAGTTTCTTACCCATCCACTTGCTTGTGTATTCCACAGAATATCAGTTTGTATTTGGCAAGATTCATCGACAACAGATTTCAACTTTCCGTTGGTGTCTTTAGCAGTAATAGTACTTATGGAAGATGTGAAAACAACCCTTTTCACTGAATTGGATTTCAAGCATGACTTGAGAAGATTTATGGTTCCTTTGATTGCAGGGTCAATTATATTTTCTTGAACAAAAGCCTCTGCGAGATTAATGCAGATGTTATATCAAATGTGTTAGATTACCAGTATTTTCTTTGTCATTAACATTGCCAGTATCAATGCATTACTTTACCTGTATTTTCTTTGTCATTAACATTGAATTGCATTGAAGCTGCAACATGGAACACACCAACACATCCTTTTACGGCCTCGTCGAAACTTCCTTCTTCTTGCAAATCCGCACGGAAAATTTTTAGTTGGTCACCCCCTTTCCACAATGACAGGAGGTGTAACGACTTTTCTGTTACATACATCAGAGAATCTAAGGAAAAACAAAATAAAAGTGACAACAACTACAAGTACAAAAAGTAACAAAAACCACCACAAGCCAACTCTAAAAAATCCGTCCTCAAGAACTACACCACAATGAAGAATAAGTTTGAACTCAAGTCTACAAGACCATCAACACGAGATTAATGACCACCAAGAAAAAGCAAAGGACACTCACACGCACAATCTGACCATAAATCTCAAACTATTATTGGTTAATTCGAAGGATAGTATTCTAACTTCATTTTGTGAAGATGCAATAATTCTGAGTTGATCTCCACAAATCTCTCAAGTTTATTGAAGAACTCGAAAACACGACATAATCCCGAACTCTCCAATTTGTCAGAAACGATAGCATGAAAAATCAATAGTTCAATTTAAAAATAATTAATATTACATTTTAAATAATCCCTTAAAGCGACCTTAAACTTTTTAGATTAAATAATCTCTGACTTGATCATGATAGCTTTGTTGAGTTAGTCCATTCTAGTTAGCTTGGTTATGTGTCCTCTGGTTGAAAATATTTTGTCCTTAAAGGGAAATTCAAATCTCTCAAAGCAGCAAATAAAGTTTAGAATAAAAAGGTGTTTGATAATCTTGACTTCCAAATTGAGTCTTTGAGAGAGGTGGCGATCTCTCAGGACTTTAGAGCCGCCATGGTGTGATTTCTATAGAGGAGGTTGTGGATAGATCAAAAACTATTGCGGACCTCTGGTCCTTGCTTAGGTTTAAATACTATCAATATTTTAAGTGGTCTAAAGTTGGGTGATGTTAATTACTGATTTTTCATGAATTTGTTAAGAATAGGAGTAGGAGGAGCGCTATCCTAGCCCTTAAGATGCACAATAGGTCGGTTGATGAGGTTGCTAAGATACGTCAGGAGATGGTGAATTTCTTAATCATATTAAGGAACCTCTGGTTGATCATTTGTAGTTGGATGAGGTTAGTTTATGACTATTACGCGAGAGAATGTCGCTCTTACTTCTCATTTCCTTAGTTATGAGATTGATATGGAGACCTTTTTTTTTATGATGATAATAAGAGCTAGAGACCGAATGGTTTTACTTTATTTCTTTTGTAAAATTTTTGACCTTTTCTTAAGGAGAATTTAAGGGGAATGTTTAATCGGTTTCATCGGTTTGCATCTCTTCCCTAGTGTTTCACGTCTTGTTTTGTTATTTTGATTCCTAAGGTTGATTCTCATTCTCAGTTGGAAGATTTCCATCTTATCACTTAGCGAAATATCTTTATATACTTGTTGTCAAAACATTGGTAGCGATAGGCTTGTAATGGTTATAGACAAACTTATCTCTCTAAATCAATTGACTTTTCTTAACGGTAGATTGTTAGTGGATAAGGTGCCAACTGTAAATGAGTTGGTGAACTTAGCTAAGAATTCCAAAATGGTTTGTCTTGTTTTAAGGTGAACTTTGAGAAAGCATAAGTTAGTTTGAGTTTTATGGATTATATGCTTATTATATTTGAGTTTAATAATAAATAGAGATCTTGGATGTGTGCTTGTGTTTTCTCTAACGAAAATAATCGCCCACCTACGTGCAATCTTTTGAACATTTATGATAAAAAAACATTTTTATAATATGATGTATGTTGGACTTCCTTGGGAAAATCCTTGCCACTGCATAAGGTTATATTATGTATGTTGGATTTCCTTGGAAAAATCGTTTCCGACTCTTAAGGAAATATGATATGTTGGACCTCCATGAGAAGATCCTTGTCGGCACTCAAGGCAATATGATTTATATCAGATTTTCTGGGAAAGATCCTTGCCGCCTCTTAAGGTAATACGATCTATGTTTGATTTCTTTGGGAAGATTTTTGTTGCCTCTTAAGGAAATATGGTGTATGTTGGATATTTTTTGAAAGATCATTGCCGCCTCTTAAGGAAATATCACGCATGCATGACTTCCTTGGGAAGATCCTTGCCGCCTCTTAAGGAAATATGATGTTTGTTGGACTTCCTTGGGAAGATTCTTGTCGCCTATTAAGGCAATACACGAATGTTAAACTTCTAGAGGACGATCCTTGACGCCCCTCAAGACAATACACGAGTGTTAGACCTCCATAGAAAGATCCTGTCACCCCCATGGATGATATAAAAAAGTTCAATTGAACTCGCCACCTGAGGCACTTGGTGTTTCCTCAGGAGGAATCCAAAATAATGTCTCTCCCAACAGGCGTGACCAAAGTGTAGCCTGAGGGACTTAACTTACAGTCTTATCTTAAGGCATGATAGAAGTTTTATAGTCTTGTCTGAAGGCATGATAGAAGTTCAGTCAGAGAGGTCCAACGCCACGCTTGAGGGACTCAAATTCCCATTAGTCTAGCTCGATACATTACTTCGCCTGAAACACTAAGAGTCTCATTGAACATGCTTATATAAACTATCTGCCTAAGAGACTAGAGTTTCCTTGAGTGGGATCAAACGTAAAGTCTTGCGGAAGGGACGTGACCGAAGTCTAACTCGAGAGACTTAACTTAAAGTCTTATTTCAGAGCTTGATAGAAGTTGTGCTTGAGAGGTCTAACGCCTCACCTAAAGGACTTAGAGTCTCATCACTCAGACTCAATAAATAACTTTCCCTGAAGGACTAAGAGTCACATCGAACATGCTTATCTAAACTCCCCCATGAGGGACCTAGAGTTCCCTCGGGAAGAATCCAACATAAATTCTCGCATAAGGGCTGCAACCAAAGTCTAACTCGAGAGACTTAACTTAAAACTCTTATCTGAGGGCTTGATAGAAATCTTGTCCGAGAGGGCTAACTCCTAGCATGAGGGACTTAAAGTCTTATTGGTTGGACTTAATGAGTACCCTCGCCCGAGGGACTTAGGGTCTAGTCAGTCTAATTCAACAAATGATCTTTCCTGGTAGACTTAGGGCTTTAGGAAACCCCAACATGATGTACTTTAAAAACCCTTTACCTTTTATCAAATCCTTCGTGCTCGAGGGACTGTGTAGTGATATATTTGTAAAAAACATAGTAAAGGCGATGACGTTGTAGTCCCGATGAGGGGCAACACCAATATGTGGCCCGCCGTTAGGAACAACCTCGCCCTAAGTGCCTCATACTCGCCTAATCACAAGAAATGTGGGAAAATGCATGTCTTAGTCAGCGAAAAGTTAGGGCCAGCAGGTTTATCTACGTCTCCTTAGGAAATATGGATTCAACGGTCCATGATTGACTGAGTACACAGTTATCATTCCCAAGAAAATCATAGGTCGAAAAGCCCTTATAAATACCTCACCCCTTGAAGGGAAGAAGATAAATCATTACACATTCAGCATACACAGATTACATAAACCTTCTCAGCTCAGGTGAACTTGCTATCTCCGTAACCATAGAACATCGCGAAATAGGATCTCTCACTAGTGTGAACAAACTCTAACCACCATTAACAAAGACCCATGATTATTCTCTGCTCGTGTAGGGATACAACTTTTTGACAAGTAATATTTTAAAGGCTTAATTTCAATTTTGGTCTCTCTATTTTCAATTTTTATTTTATTTTTGGTCCCTCTATTTTAAAATTCAGAATTTTGCTCCCTCTATTTATATATATTTTTTATTTTTGGTCCCTCTATTTTAAGTTTGTTTTGGATTTTAGTCCCCTTCCTAATAAAAAAAAGGGGACCAAAAGTCTAGAAAAATAAAAATAAGGGGACACAAATTTTAGATTTAAAAATAGGGGGATCAAAATTTTAAAAAAAATATAAAAATAGGGGAATAAAAATTCCAAATTTTAGAATAGGAGGATAAAAAATAAAAAAGAATGAAAATAGAAGAACCAAAATTACAATTGAACCTGTTTTAAAATAAATACTTACAAAATTCTATAGTTTTTTTTATTTTTAATAAATTATAAATATGTGTTCGTCGTGTAAAAGTCAACTTTTTTTAAAGTTAATTTCTAAACTAATTCTTATTATTTCAGTAAAGTCCACTTTTTTTTTAACAAGAAATCAACTTCAAAAATTTACTTTTTAAACATATTATTTTCTTTTTGAAATGAAATAATAGTTAAAAGTATATTATAATTTATTATTAACTTAATAATAATAATAATAATAATAATAATAATAATAATAATAATTTTATAAAAATAATAATAATAATGTCGTGTTTAGCTTCATGGTGGGGTTAATATTGACCAGAAACTCTTATAAATTTATAAATATTTATTAAACTTATTCATAGAATTATTAAATTATTCAAATTATTAAAGACAAATTAATTATTAATTAAGAAAAAGTAATAAATATCAATGATATATAAAATAATATTAGTGATTCATTGAAACTATAAAAAAAAAGGTAGATTTTAAAAAACATAGAGTAGTTTATAAAAAATAATTCTGTTATATAAAATAAAAAGGGTATAAGTTGGTGGAAAGAAATCTAGGTCAAAAGATCCATTTTGATCGAACTGTACGTAGCTATTTGTCCATCCTAGTTGGTCCCTTTTATAGACTTTTACGTTGGACATGCATTTTTTGCCCCCCACAAAAATTAAAATCCTTACGCAAATATTGAAACGTGTCTACAACTCTATGTTTCACCGTTTATCATCTTAAATAGTGTAAGAAAGAGGTCAAAAATATTCTTGAAAATAAATCATGATTAAACATGAATTGATGCATAAACAAAGACTAAAACTATCACAAAAAATATTGGGGGGAATGAAATTTCTGAAAATTTTTATAATAATTCTTGCTCTCCGTACTAGTTTGAAGAACAAACCAGAAAAAAAAAGTTTGAAGAAAGATAAGAGTGGTAATAGAGAAATACTAACCTGGATCTCTAACTGTAGCATGCACAGTGCAACCTCTTTGAAGAAGAGATTCAACAAGCCATGAACCAATATACCCTGTTGCTCCTGTAACACAGTATTTGGAATTAGGAACACTGTTTATCACCATCTTCACTACTTCTTCCTCCATTTCAATTCTTTCTTAACCACAAAAACACCAACTATTTATTTATTCTCTCCTTTTCTTCTGATTAATGTTGTTATATATTATTGTATAATTTATAGTAGTAGGCAACCATCCACCGGGCACGTTTACATTTGTGCTATAAATAAAATACGGCATCTAGATGTGTATAATAAATAATCTTTTAAATAAATATATATATATATATATATATATATATATATATATATATATATATATATATATATATATATATATATATATATATATATATATATATATATATATATATATATATATATATATATATATATATATATATATATATATATATATATATATATATATATTGTTCTGGATCGGACTGACACCTGCCCCGCAGCTGGATAAGGTCCAATCCAATCTAGGTTAAGGCCAGATCCAATACAACTGTTGGACATAATATAGCCGTTGGACACAATATAAGTTGGAGTACATAGCCGTTGGGGACGTGCCTCTCACGCGCTTTACATTTCACGTGACCAACTGTCCCTCCGAAAGTCACGGAGACAGTTGGACCAGGTCAAAGATCAGCGCTAGATCTTCCATCTGACAGTCCCCCATTGGCCAACTAGACATTTAAGTTACATGGGAGACCTTGACTCCGCGCTGGGGGAAAACTTATAAATACCCTCTCTCTTGAGAGGATCAGATATTCTAACCATTCTTGCTCATGCCTAAACACTCTTACTTGCTTTCTCTCTTTAACCCAAACACTTACTTTGGCATTGGAGTACCCTGCAGGTACGACCTTGACTCTGCGCTAGGGGAAAACTTATAAATACCCTCTCTCTTGAGAGGATCAGATATTCTAACCATTCTTGCTCATGCCTAAACACTCTTACTTGCTTTCTTTCTTTAACCCAAACACTTACTTTGCCATTGGAGTACCCTGCAGGTACAACCCCCTTCTCTCCTACAACCATTGTTGCCGCCCTACATTGAAGGACAAGACGATCCATTCTGATCACTCCAGATCATATATATATATATATATATATATATATATATATATATATATATATATATATATATATATATATATATATATATATATATATATATATATATATATATATATATATATATATATATATATATATATATATATATATATATATATATATATATATATATATATATATATATATATATATATATATTCTTCTGGACTGGACTAGCACCTGCCCCACAACTGGGCAAGACCCAATTCAGTACAGCTTAAGGCCAGGGCCAATACGACCATATGGCACAATATAGCTGTTGAGCACAATATAACCGTTGGAGAACATAGCTGTTTGGGACGTGCCCCTCACGCGCTTGATAGTTCACGGGACCAATTGCCCCTCCGAAAGTCATGGAGACAGTTGGACTAGGTCAAAGATCACGTGCTAGATCTTCCACCTGGCAGTCCCCCATTAACCAACCAGATATTTCAGTTACATGGGAGGGATACCTTGTCCCCGCGCTGGGGGAAAACTTATAAATACCCTATCTCTAGAGAGGGTCAGGTATTCTAATCATTCTTGCTCATACCTAAACACTCGCTTTCTATCTTTAACCCAAACACTTACTTTGGCATTGGAGTACCTTTCAGGTACAACCCACTCCTCTCCTACAACCAATGTTATTGCCATACATTAAAGGTTAAGACGATTCATTCTGATCATTCCTGATAAGTGGCGCGGTCTGTGGGAACACCATCTCCCCCGTCTTTTTGGACCAATACTTCCCAAGCTTCCCAAACAAAAGACCAAAGCTACCTCTCTAAACCTTCATCGTTATGACCTCCCACCGTAATAACGTCTAGCAAGATTCCCTCGTCGTTGTTCTGGGTTATGACGAAACCCCTATTCCCGGAGGTACCACCGGAGAAGTTGATCATAGGAACGAAAAACCAGTATCTCCTGACAACGTGAAGTCTCGTGTCCAAAGTTCCGACCATGTATACGAACCTATCACCATCCCACAAGATGCTGACCCTTACACAACGGCCCTCATCGCCGCCCTCAACAAATCCAATTATTTGCTCTTCCAATAAGGAGAAAAAAACCCCATGTTGGAAAACACAATCAGAGAACGACCTCCCCCGCGGGGATCCCTAAGCCCATCTCGCCGATCACATTCCCTCTTCAAAAGCATCGGCGAGACGAATCTAAAAGAATCTCCCTTGTCAAAGAACTATCCAAACTGGAGAATTGTGGACATGAGACCATCCGAAAGCGCGATCGTACCCCTCCTCGAAAATCTAGGCACTCCTCCGTATCCAAAAAGACCAGGACTTCCGGAAAGCCTCGCGCGCGAAGAGCACTGAAGCCTACATGAACGTTCTCCTTGACACATCAGGAGCCTGGGATGAAGTTATTCGTTCAGCAGGTCGCCCAGTACGAGCGACGAAGACAACACAAGCGGTCCCCTGACACAGGAAACCATGGACATCCGCATTCCGCGCGGATTGGAGAAACCTCCCCCTCTAGATCTCTATGATGGTACCACCGACCCTAGTGACCTCATAGAAAACATTGAGGCCAAGATGAACTACCACAATGTCCCTGGAGCGATCAAATGCAGGTTATTCCCCACCACCCTCAGGAAAGAGGCTATGACTTGGTACAAGAGCCTTCCTCGGGGCTCAATCACGTCATGAAGGAGTCTTAAGGAGCAGTTTGCCCTACACTTTACTACCTCTAAGCGCTGTCATAACCCAAATTTGTCCTACCTTTACATGGTTTCTAGTGCCACTTTATTTCGAATGAATAAAATGACACAATTGGCAAAAGGCCATGTGTAAGGAGTTGTGAGTGTGAGAGGTTGAGAGTTTGAATCCCACCATTTTCGCTTTTTGTGTTTTTCTCTTTTATTTTTATTCTACCTTTTCTATTTTCATAAAAAATAAAAAAAATAGTAATTTTTATTATTTAATTATTAACTTTCGTATTTTATTTAAGGTATTTTTTAAAATATTATTTTTTCACTATTTTTCTATATTATTCATAAAAATATCCAAAAAATTATAAAATAAAAAATATTGGAAAACATTTTGTTCTTTTTATAATATTTTTTAATTTTAGAAGGAATCAATAGGATTATTATTTTTATTTTAAGTTTATTTTTAATTATTTTAAATTGTTTAAATTTTATTTAGTTTTAACTAATTATTTAATTTAGGCTTTAAAATGAGCTTAGGGACATTATTGACAATTTAGAGTTAACCCTAATTTAGTCCCTATATATACATATGTTGCATTGTTGAAAAGAAAAAGACAAAAACAAAAAAAACTTAGGAGATCGCCGTTTACTGTTTACTTTTCCTATTCTATTACCGAGTAAGTCACATAGATTGCGACACCGGTCTAATAGTTTCATGGTAGTTATTTCGTCATTATGAATTGAAATCCATGTTTTTACTAACAACATACGTTAGGATATTATAACGTTTATAATGTAATGTGATAACAGTATATTATAAGGTTTATATTAACATGATAAAAAAATTGTACATTATTTTGATTTATTATGAAACTTCAATCCAAGTTTTGTATATATATATATATATATATATATATATATATATATATATATATATATATATATATATATATATATATATATATATATATATATATATATATATATATATATATATATATATATATATATATATATATATATATATATATATATATATATATATATATATATATATATATATATATATATATATATATATATATATATATAGTTTTATTTCATTTTGTATTTTATTAGATTAGTTGGATTGAATCGTGTTGATACGTTGATGCATATTTTTATGCACAATGTGTGACATTTATGTTTAGTTCGATCCGGTTGCGATGATCGCATTTTCGCGTTAGCAACATCGTTGAGTTTTTATCAGATTTAAAATTCATTTTCCTTTGCGTTTCTTTTTTATAAATTCATATCCGCACGATTTGGATTCGGTTGCGATGATCGCATTTTTGCTTAGCAATATTGTTGATTTCATTTTATTATTTTTTATTAGCACTTTTAAAATTCCTTTTCCTTTGCGTTTCTTTTTTATAAATTCATATCCGCACGATTTGGATCCGGTTGCAATGATCGCATTTTTGCAGTTGCAATATTGCTGATTTTATTTTATTATTTTTATTAGCACTTTTAAAATTCCTTTTTCTTTGCTTTTCTTTCTTATAAATTAATATCTTCACGATTTGGATCCGGTTGCGATGATCGTATTTTTGCGTTAGCAATATTGTTGATTTTATTTTATTATTTTTTCATTAGCACTTTAAAATTCCTTTCGTTTCACTTTTTCCTTTTGTTATATTCAGATCCGCACCATTTTTTGTCTCTTTTGCGATGATCACGTTAAGTGTAGCAAATTAGTGGTGATTTTTATCGATTTACGTGTGATGTGCTATATTTATTTATCCTTGTATTTTAATTTTACACGCGTCAGACGGTTTAGCGTGGTAGAAATCCACTTTTTGCGCTCACTGATTCGCAGCTCGATTTGCAATTTGTGGTTTTTTTATTATCTTTTTGTTCTTGATTTGACTTGCGATGACCGCTTACTCGGTAACATTTTATTTTAATTTTTATTGGATCTGATTGAATTTTTCTTTGTATCTTTTCATGTCTTTTATGATCCAATTCGCACCCTTCGCGTTATCATTTGTATCAATCATTTCTCACCATCGATTCACAATCATATTAAACCATTTTCTAAAATATCAAACTAATTTTTGATTTAATCAAGTCATTTTCATACCTTGTAAGTCGATCATTCATGATCGCCATTGACCGTTATCATTAAAGTATTTTAATGCACGATAATATTAGCGTAGTCTCCCCCTTGATCTTAATCTTTAGGATCATAGAATTAGGTTAGTTTTTCCTTATAAAAACTAAAATTTCTTTTCTTAAAAAAATACAAAAAATACTTTAACCTATATCTAATTTCTCTT